CATAATAGTAAAACACTTGAGGAATTTCCACTAATATTCCCCCATGGTATTAATTTAAAATGATTTAGAAAACAAAAAAAATTACCTGAAGATTCTCAACTTGTGGAAAAAAATCATAGAAAATCATTAAACTGGTAAAAGATACAGGAGTTGGAGATAAGAGCAACCCAAACCCACTAACTATGAAGGAATGAGTATAACCCTAGAATGTGATTTAAATGTGCAAGCACCTGGATCTTACATCACAGCAAATACAAAAGGATTGACACCACCGGAAAATGTGGTGCCACCTTGAAATAGAAGGATGGACTGGGAGAGGGAACTCGGTGTTGAGATCAGAATGTGGCAGAATGTCAGAGAGGAAATAACATTGAGGAATATTGAGGGTGGGTGGGTGTGTTGAAAACAGAAAGGGCAGAGAAGGTGGGAAGAACCTACCAGCAGGACACAGAAGCACAGTATGATAATAGAAAATTTATGCTGCCAAGTGAAAGTGCCCATGTTTGAAGTATAGAGGTGGATATCACAAAAATGCTAACACAAATTGGTTCAAATAATATTGTGTGTATTTTTTGAGATAGGTATTTTATAACCCAGATTAGTCTTCAAACTCACAGTTGTCCTACCTTGGATCCCAAATGCTGAGACTAAAGACATGTACCATCTGTCTAGACTCAATCCGAGCTATATTTAAATCACCACCTTAAGTTATATATGCATGTTTACATCCCAGCCTGTGTAAGAGAAATCAACAGTAAAATTGGATATCTTTTCCAGTGATCCAAACAAAATGCACAGGTCCAGAAGTCCTTCATAGGAATGGATCTCTTCCCCACCCTGAGCACAGCAGCAAGGTTTTCCTTGACCTGATAGTTTGTGGATCCAAAGTCTTCCTCCTAGAAGAATCTGAATACACCTGATGAAAACAGTACCAATCTTGTCTCAGGTAGTTTTTGTTCTTATAAATGTGTGTGTGTGTGTGTGTGTGTGTGTGTGTGTGTGTGTGTGTGTGTGTGTGTGTGTTCATGAGGGCATGGCATGTGTGTGCTTCAGGGGGCAGATGTTATGAAATGGAAACACTCTTCTCTTTGAAGATATCTTCAAGGAGAGGGTGGGGATTGGTGGCACATATTGACCCTGTTGTTGCCACAGCTACAAGAGAAAATAAATGGAAAGAACTCAAAGATCTTGATGGGTTTCATATCTGATTTTGACTGTCAACACTTGTCAGCTATTTTCTCAAGTTCACAAACTTAGGTATGTGAGAAAGTTTGGGGGAGGTTTGTGGAAAGCACTCTCTTAGCCACTGCCTATCATCAACATGCCTGGATCTGGTGATGCAACACACCACCCTATGGGCTTTAGCATCTCCAAAAGCACGGTTTAGGATCTAGAGGATGCCTAAACTCAGTTTCCACAGATGGAGAGATGCAGGCTTAAAAAGATTCAATAGTTTAGTCCAAGTGTCACCTACTGACAACCACAGAAGACCTTACTATGGTTTCTGGGTCACTTTGCTACTGCTGCTCTATCCCCTCCTCTCTGTCTCTGTCTCTGTCTCTGTCTCTGTCTCTCTCTGTGTCTCTGTCTCTCTCTCTCTCTCTCTCTCTCTCTCTCTCTCTCTCTCTCTCTCTCTCTGTCTCTCTCTCTCTCTCTCTCTCTCGCTCTCTCTCTCTCTCTCTCTCTCTCTCTCTCTCTCTCTGTCTCTTTCTCCTCTTGGCTTTCCCTGTCTAAATCTATTGATATTAGAAAAGAGTTTGGGAGATAATTCTTCTCTAGAAGAGCAAATTTGTGCACACATGAATGTGTATTTACATTTCAAATGCCAATCAAATATTTCCTCCATTGGCTTATGGTTCCATAGTGCATTAAAAATTTAGCATTTGCATCACAAAAATTCTGTTTTCATTCTACTGTGCTGAGAATATTGTGATAAATTATACACTATAAACCACTACAAACGTCAAGATGTTGGAGAGCTAGCTAAGCAGCTAAGAGAACTTATTGCTCTTGCAGAGGACCTGGGCTCCATTCCCAGCACTCACATGGTGGCTCACAACTGTCTATAACTCCAATTTCAGGAGATCTAATGCCTTCTTCCTGACCTTGACAGGCAGCAGACACACACAAAGTGCACACACAAACATGCAGAATATTGTCTTTTTGAGATATATATATATATATATATATATATATATATATATATATATATATATATACATATATATATATATATATATCTCAAAAAGACAATATACTTCAACCAGGTATCCGTGTTTATTCAGACTGTGCCTTGTTTTATAGCTTTAATTATTTAAAATGTAGACTTGTACCTCAGCCCACTTTCTGTTTCTGTAACAAACTGCTGGAAACTGCAGTTTCTAAAAGATTGCTTGATCTCCCAGTTTAGGCTGTTAAGAAATCCAAAAGCATAACATTGGTATCTGGTAAGGGCTTCTTGCTGCATCATAACACGATGGAGAGTATCATATGGCAAGATAATAAAAACTACCCAAGAAAAGTTTACTTTTATGGCACTTCCACTGTGACTCAATAGCTCATTAATCTATAAATAGCTAAAACCACTCATGAGGGCAGAATGCTCATGATCCAGCCACATTTCAACAGCCCCACCAGTGCCCGTCAGCACCACCAAGGGAATCAAATTTCTATAGGAGTCCCAGGGAGCATTAACCATGTGTAGTAGATTGAGCACACACTGGCATTTCATCTTTGCAGTTTATTTAGGAAATGAAGCATAACTCAGTGGTTCCAGAAAAATTAATACATAATCTAAATAAATGGTAATTTCAGAGAGATTTAGCTACATTAGCACTGCTATTTCCCAGCACCTATAATCTTCTAAATTGACTTATTTGATGCTCTTCAGATCTGTTTTCTAAAGGCTGAGATTTGTATCTCAGTTGCTGCTTTTGAAATATCTTCCCCCAATGGTGAATTTATCTAATGTAATTTTCACATTCGATGCCATTTTTCTCAAACAACAATAAGGGACAGGAGGACACATGTGGCTATTGCATCTCAGGAAACTGGAACTTTGGTTCAAAATATGGATGAACTGTAAGGAAGACAAAAGGAGAGGAAGTTGGAGGCCACTGGGTGAGGACATTTTGAGTTACAGTCGGATGGGTGGTGAGGCACAACATGTGATAAAATAAAATAAAACATTCTTGGCAGAAATGGGCTGCTGTGTGCAGCTCCAAACTGAGGCTGCCAGGCTGATCTGTCATCTCATTAACAGTTTCCCCAAACCCTTGCTTCCCTTCTTTAATGCTCTCTACACCTTCTCGATGTCTCGCTTGATTTCGTAAAGCAATTCAACAAAATTGACGATGTGGTGGTGTGCTAAAGACTATAGTTTGATGAAAACCATCTTGCAGTGTCTGCTTACACGTATCTTGCAATGTTGGGGGACAGCTTTGCCAGTGAAAACACTGTGCCTTGTGTGTTAAGCACGTGTTCATGCCCACCAGTCCTGTGTTTCAGGTTTAGACTATGATTTTTGTGATAATAAGGGGCGTGGTTGGGTGTGGTATGGCGTGTCAATGTTACAAACTCAGTTTCTCTCTCTTCTTCCTCCCTCCCTTCTCTCTCTCTCTTTCCTAAGAAAATGCATCTTCCTGATTATCCAATTTATGGCAGGATTTTGAATTTTGATGCTGGAAGGTAAACAATGCAAATATACTCCTTAACAGCTAAATATTTAAGTTACTTAGAGCAATGATCTCCATTTCCTTACAGCAGAACTGGTCTACTTCTTCACACTAGAGCAAAAGGGGGGAAATCAGACCTCAACAGTTCTCTGGACTGTCACTCCCTCCCCCCTCCCCACCCCGCCTGCTCAACCTTAATTATCCTGTAGGCAAAGACATTAGCAGGATTCTGACCCAGCTCCTGGGGTGGATGACTACATCTGTTTAAACTTCCCCTTTGGGTCCTGATGCAGTTGCAAGCCCAGAGTCTAAAAAACCTGCTCCCAGCATGAGTATCACGCCTCCCCCGCCCCCCCCGGGCAGTCTTGGGATGCAGGTGCGTCGCTGACTCTGGAAGAGTCTCTTCTATTAGCCATCACAGGTTGCGGGGGTGGGGGCGGGCATCCCGGACTCCCGCTGGACCGCCAGATGTTTAGTTGCTGACCTGCTTGGAGCATGGGGAAAAGAACCGGGAAAAATGCGCCTTCCCGCTCCAATGAGTCACCCCTGGAAGGATGCTCTTTCCAGCCTAGGATTTGCCCAAAGTGGAGGGGGCGGGAA